ATATAATACAGGTGTATATAAACTATAAAAATCTAATATACTTTACTATAACTAAGGAGTTAAATAGAAGATAAGTAAAATAGTTAGAAAAACTAGGAACCTTTAATTTTAGGATTATATACTAAAAAGGATCTAAAAACGCTTATATAAATACACTTAGTAGAAGGCCGGACTATATAAAAAGAGCCGAGAAAGCTAGGCAATTTATACTTAGGAAGAGAAGTCCAGGAACCCTTAAATTTAACTATGCGCAAGCAGCAGCTACTTATAGATCCGAGGATAATAAGTAGTATAGATAAATTAAGGCAGCACAGAAGGTAGACTAAGAAAGCCGGGATTTAGCAGGTTATAACTGGCAAAGTTTGCGCCTAGAACCTATAAACTAAAAACGCGGAAAAATCTAGGACAGTATTATTACCTTACAGGACAAGATATTTATACCTAAAACCTTATAAGAAGAGCTTATTAAGGAATTCTATAGTACACTAGTGCACGGGCACTAGGGAGTAGAAAAAACACGGGAAAGAATTGCAAGAACATTCTATTTCCCCGGACTCCGGAAATTAATAGAGAAAATTATATATAAATGCAAGTATATAAAGAATAAGTTAGTATAACACGTACTATACAGACTAATAAGAAGTCCCTTTATACCGGAAAGGGTATAAAAATCTATTATATAGAACTTTATAGTTAAACTACTATAGTTTATTAAACCTATAATAGGTATAAAGTATAACGCAATATTAGTAGTTACGGACCAACTAACTAAATATATATACTTTATCTCTTATTAAGAAGTATTAACGGCAGAAGATCTAGCCTATATATTTTTAAAGTATATTATTAGCAACCACGGGCTACCCTAGGAAATAATTTCAGACTAAGACAAGCTCTTTATATTAAAATTCTGGCAGACCCTTACTATACAACTAGGAATAAAGCATAAGCTTTCCACGGCGTTTTACCCTTAAACGGACGGGCAAATAGAAAGGCTTAATTAGACTTTAGAATAGTACCTATAATACTATATTAATTACAGGCAGGATAATTAGGTATTACTACTACTAATAGCCTAGTTTACCTATAATAGCGCATTTATAGAGATAATAAAGGTATTACCCTTTTTTATAAACTACAGTTTCGATCTAGAGGTATATTAAGAACCCTAACTTAATAGTATAAGGGCCTAGAGGGCACTGCTATTAGTTAAAAATATAAAAGAGCTATAGAAATAGCTCTTAATAGATATCTAATTCCTAACGCTAAGGTTAGTAAGATATTATAACCAATACCGGAGTATTACACTAACCTTTAGAAGGGGGGATAGAGTTTACCTACTCCGCAAAAATATTAAAATAAAATAACTAAGTATAAAGTTAGACTATATTAAGATTAGACTATTTAAAATATAGAATATTATTAGCCTAGTAAACTATAAGCTTAGGCTACCCAATAGAATAAAAATACACCCGGTCTTCCACGTATTGCTACTAGAACCCGTACTACCTAATACTAAGCTAGAAAACAATATTAAAGTTAACAATAATAATAAATATAAGGTCGAGCAAATCCTAGATTCCCGATAGCACGGTTAGTAAAAGAAATACCTAATTAAGTGGAAAGGATATAGCACCTCTAAAAATATATAGGAACTGGTTAAAAGTTTAGCAAACTATTAGGAACTCCTATAGCAGTTTTACCGCTAGAATCCGGAACAGCCTAGAAAAACAGTAATAGCGCACTATTTAACTAGAAAGGATTAAAGGGATCTAAGGGCGGATTATAACTATTATATAATTAAAATATACGGCTTTAAAGGAGATAACTAGGAGTGCCTGGCACACCCGAAAAGAAAGAAAAGTACCCGATAATCCCTAAGGCAGAAGGCAAGCCTTCCTGCTCGGCACGCTCTTATTTTTTCTACTTAGCCTTTTTCTAATCTTTCTTTTCTATCTTCTCTAAGTTGGAAAACCTATAATAAAGCATCTTAGAACAACGCTTAGTTAGTAAACGCTTCTGCTTTTGCAGATAGAAGGACTTAGCTAGGAGCTTACGCGCCGCCTTAGCTGCAGCCTCCTTTTCTTTTTTAAGACAGTAAATATTATAATCTAGCTTTAATACTAATAAGTTAGGAAATTCTATAGAATAGAACAGGATACCTATAAATAGAAGCACTAATACTAAAAATATTACACACCCTACCAACTTTTATATATTCCCTATACTAAGTATTACCTTTAAGAACCTTGCAGAGCAGGCTATTAGTAGAATAGTAAAAATAGGATAGTATTTTAATTCTAAGCTTTGCAGAGCGATTAGACAGGAGGTTATATTACAGGAACTTTTTAGATTTCGGAACTTTAGGTATTATAAAGGAAGAAATAGAATAGTATAATAATAGCCTAGTAAATAGGGTATTGCTAGCTATTTATCCGAGACCCTACTATAGAATTACTTTCGGGCCGAAAGCTTTAAAAGGGGGAGTAAGTATTATAACCTGTAATATAAATAACCTAAGCGCAGAGGCACTTATAGAGATAAGTAAGCAGATAAAACTAATTATATAGAACCAGGTTACAGGACTAAAAGGGTTATATATAGAATATATAGGGATCCTGGATTCCCCTATAGACTGCTAGTAGATAGGAATAATCTAAGAATAGAAGTTATAGGATAGATTAGACGGATTAGAAGGATTAGAAAGTAATTCTTAGAAGTAAGGTCGCGAGAATAAGCACTAGAGGATTAGTAACCGAGTGCAATAATCTAGACTAAGCTATAGATTTCTTAGAACGGAGCTTTTATATATAGGGACGCTCCTTTATATAGATAGGAACCTTATATTTAACTTAAGACTTTAATACTACCTATTAGAAGTAATAACCCCGTTTTAGACCTTAATTAATTATTGCCTTACCTTTTAAAGACTATTGCACCCCGATAATAACTTAACCTATATCCTGCTTAGTATATATTACTTAGAAGGTATAGAAGAGACAACCCGTTATAACTAGATTGCTAATAAACCGGCTTTAGTAGTTAAAAATATATATAGTTACTGCGCAATTAAGCAGTATACTATTGCGTAAGCTATAGGTAGATAGATAGAAAACTCTATATAGTATAATAGCAATTATAAAGTAAAAAACTAATCTAGTAGTAGGCCTACCGGCCTTAGCTATTTCCTATATTTTTTAAATAATTACTTACTGCTTTTTAGGTTAGCTCTAGAGGTTTTTTTTAAGCTTAGCTGCTACAGCTAGGTCGCTCTTTTATCCGCTTAGCCGTTTATTCTCGCAGATATATAGGCAATTCCGGAAGTAGTAGCGTTCTTCGCAGATGTATTCTAGGGGCTATTTCTTGGTTTTAGAGGCCGTTGTAGCGGCCGGCGTAGAGGCCGTTATAGTGGCCTGCGTAGCTGCCGGCGTGCCTAGTAGCTTTAATTCCACGCTGTTAAGTGTTATTATAAATATAGAATAGCTGGTAACTTTGCCGGCAACTGCTTAAGCTTCCCGCCTCTAGTTATAGAATAGATTAACTAATTCCTAGAGTATTAGTATATCCTTAGCGGCTTTACTAGTTATACGGCGGTATATTTTATTACGCTAGTATATTAAGAACTCCGGATTCTTTAGCTAGATAAAGAGCAGGAAGTCGAGTTATAGACAATTATTAGCGGCTTTAGGCAGTTAATATTCTTTGCATTTTCTATAGAGAACAGTCTATTCCTATAGCTATTATTTAATATTTAAATCCTTTGGAAACTTTTATTACTGCTGCTATAGCGTGCGGAGTTTATAGCGGCGTAGCTAATTAGATAGAGCCACCTGATTTTTAAGGCTAATTAGTATTTTATACACAGTATTAGCCTTGCTAATAAACGGTATATAGTGCGATACGAGCGTTTTAATAATATACACTCGGAGGTTATTAATAGCGTCTATTTTAGCGTTATAGCAATCTTCCTCCTTTATAGCAATCCTTTTAGTATGCTCCTAATCTAATTTAGCCGTCGGGGTCTATAATCCTTTACTATCTGCTGCTTTTAGCAGCAGAGGCCAGCCAGGCTTGTTAATCTTTGTAGAAATATTAGAGAACGGCTTAGAGGGGTTAACATGTTCCCAGATTTTGCCGGAGACGGCCTTTGTTTTAACTGTAAAGAACCAGAGCTTCCAGTTAGCAGGGGAGGATAGAACAACTCGGTCGACGGAGGTGGAAGTGGAAGGCATGGTGAGAGAACACAGGCTGTCGTGTAGATGGTGGCAGTGGGGTTTTGTAGCGTTGTAACTAACTCAACACTAAAAAGGTTCAAAAGCGATATCAACGACGACAGGGCAGGGAGGAAGGCAGGGAGGAAGGCAGGTCCTAATAAGTATCCGGGCTTATAACACTCAGGTTGCAAATTGACGTGAACTCTGTTGTATTGTGGTGCCGTACGGGCAGAATATATATAGGGAGGAAAGGGGGCACACCCCCTAGGTCTTACCAGCTTAGCTGAGTAGAGACCAGCTGAATAGAACCCTGCGCAGCTGAATAGAGCCTTGCACAGCTGAAAGCTTCTCTGTAGAAGTTGTAATTAGCTGGGCGCGTAGGCCCGAAATCCTGAGTTAATGTAATTGCTTGTGTTGTACATGGCCGCATTTGGAGAGAGCATTCGGAATTAATAAGCAAGTTAAGCGAGCGAATCGGAGGCTACGGAGCAGCCCTCCGAGCCAATCAGAAGGTGGTGAAGCGATAGGGGGGGGAGGGGGTGTACGTGTAGTGAAAAGGGGGTGTACGTCTAGGAATTAGGGGGTGTACGATTAGTAGTCCCCGAATTTTATTCGCCTTTTTGTTTTGATTCTTACCTCTATATAAATCCCCCCCCTCCTCTCTCAATTTCGAGTCTCCCAGCTACACTACCAACTACCACCAGAAATCAAAATCATTTTTACTCCACACTATTCTTACTTCACACACTCTCAAAATCTCATCACTATACTAAAGCTTCTATCACAATGCCTCCCTACAATCTCCGCCGTTCTCCAGAGAAGTCTCGCAAACTTAAGGAGGCTGACGAGAAGACCACTGAAGCTTCCACCCAGAAGTCAGCAAGATTTGTGAGGAAGGCCTCAATCAGTTCAATAAGCACTGTCAGTGACCAGCCGCCGAAAGCTCCGAACTTTCAGACTCTTGAGGTCAGCAATTGTAGATTCCTAATTCTTATTAGAATCAGCCCTGACTTGATTATTTAGATGCTAGGACAGATGCAACCATCCCGAGAGCCTCGAGCACGCGACTTCACCGGATTCCGCGAGGTTGTTAGATCCCAGGATGTTGACGACACCGCACAAGGCGTGGAAAATACTACGGCAAGTAGTCTCGAGATGTTCGAGGGTGAATTGAAAGCTGATTCCTTTATGTAAAGGTAGCAGATGAAGATGACAGCTACGCCACCGTCCTAGAAGCTCAGGGCCCCAGCGCGGGGAACGAGAAACGCCGGGCAACAAACCCAAATATATCTTTCATGGACATCGACAGGACGGATTTTAGCATGGTAGATGCTGACGCATCTACCCCGAGGAGGAAGATTGACTCCCCTGCCATCGAGGCCACCGCCGCGAACGACGATGAGGAAGACCAATCCATATCATTAGGACAGCTGACACTTTCCGACACCGAATGCGGTCTGCATTGCAGCGACGAGGAAGCTGCTCGCCTCCACGCAGAAGCTCCAGACGCGGCGCTAGTGCAACGACATAGTATCTTAGAGGATCTCGAGCGCCTGTATGAAAAACAGTTGATCAAGGCAGCCAACGATGTCGGTTATAAGCCATCCCTTAACCAGACTGCCACCGATCAGTTAAGGTACTTAGAGAGCATGAAGTACCAAGACCTCGAACTGCGCGGCTTAGACCCTAACTTCGTGGAGGATCAGCTGAAGTGGGCTAAGTGGGCAGCCAAAGCTGCAGATGCTGGACTCTTTCATCGTCCGGACGAGCGATGTGGATCGCTCCGAGAGCAGGTCGAGCGGGCTTGTGCGAGTGAGAGCGAGGAGAGGCAGCGGACAGATTTTCCGAGATAGGTTGCATTTGCAAGGTTCAGAAATTGTCAGGTTCAGCTGCGGCAGCACATGCTAGTTAGCTACTAAAGTCTATGAGGTGTTTGAGTTCACTAGGAGTTTGGCTTAGATATGGACGACCATCACTACACCTGAGCACTGTTCGTCGTACCATGAAGTCTTCGTGAGCATGGAAATAGGTGACCCTGATAATTCGGTGCTGTCTGTGCTTCAGAGTTTGATATCAGTAACCTTCCTAGCCCAGTGCAGGGGGTTGACATGTTCAGGACTTCTCTACCCTGCGAAACGGCAGCAAAGGCAAAGAGTACACTTGATTGCACCGACAAGAAAAGTATCAATCTCTGGCGATTGGTCAGGTTGCAAGTTAACCGTGCTTATGATACTACATAATTGACGATTTCGACCGCGCAGACAGCAATCTCCAGATTAGGAACTAGTTCACTACCATGGATAGTTTGCTCGTGAGCGTAGGGGCACACCGTAGAACATTCACATACTTGGAGACACGCGCTCCATTCACCCTCTAGCTTTGTTCTCAGCCTCTATATGAATCGCCCTTGTAGGTTCATCCAGTTCATACCTTCTTCCAACTCTGCCAACCGCCACGAAAGACCGGATCCGCCCACATCCCACAGCTCTTGACCAGAGAGAATATCGCCATGGAACGCTACAACCTCCGCGCTGCCCCAGAAAAGTCTCGCAAGCAGAAGGAGGCTGACCAAAAGAGCGTTCCATCTACCGTGCGGAAATCTGACAAAGGCAAAGGAAATGCTTCAGTTGAGTCGGTTAACACTACTACTAACAGACCAGCAAAAGCGTCAAACTCTCAGAACTTCCAGGTAAATCATATTACGAACACGTTCTGCATGTTCTGGCTAAACGATCCTTCCAGATGCAAGTCCAGACGGATCCTTCCAAAGAACTGCGAGGAAGTGAGTCCGTCCAGCTTAGCGAGGTGGCCCGACCTCAAGATGTCGATGATACCGTGCAAAAGATGGCAGGTTTGGCTGTAAATAATCATGGAGAGAATGTGTGTGATTTCAAAACTGACTTAGTCATGTGTAGGTAGCAGATGAGACAACACACTCACCGCCGTAGTACCACCTCAGAGCTCCAACGCAATGAATAAGAAACCCCAGCCAGCAGAGCAAAGGCTTGACGCGAGAGCCAGTGGTGCCCGATGTGAGGACCACTGCAGCGATGAAGAGGCAGCCAGGCTTCACTCCGTTACTCCAGACTCAGCACTGTTGCAACGAGACAGCGTGTTGGAGGACGTAGAACGGTTTTACCACATGGAATGTTCCAAGGCCGCTGATGCGAACCGACACCCGCTGCCCATCAGCCAAATTGCCACTGATCTCGCCAAGTACTTGGAAAGCATGCAGCACCTAGATATTGAGCCCCGCGGTCTCGATCCTGAGTTTGTCAAGGGCGAGTTACAGTGGGCAAAGTGGATTGCTGTAGCCGCAGCTTCGGGACTCTTCCATCGTCCAGACAAGCAATGCGGGTTATTCCTAGAGCAGGTCAAGCGAGCTTGCGGAGAGTAAGAAGGGGAGGAGAGAGTGAAAATCACTAGCGATTGGTGTCGTTGTCGTTTGCCAGTTTCGGGCGAGATCTGCAGTTTTAGCTTTGGCATAGGCTGCTCAACGATTTGAATCTTGGTTTCATAGGCGCTCAGGCACATCAGTGACTGCGGTTAGATCATAGAGAGAGACGACTAACGTAATAAATGGGCATTAATGCATCGTGACAATTTCATTTCAGAGACCATTGGTTTTTTCGGTATTCCCTTCTTCATCACGAAACTGTAGGATTAGTGAAGTGGTATCGACCCTGAAAAAGCAAACATGCATTGACCTCTAATAGTAGGAGACAAACAACCCCCTATACTCAGAACTTCGCCAATTCATCTACGTTTCCGCAGGAATTGCCGCAATGGACGGATGGGATCCAGAATTCAATCGACGACGACTACATCATCAGCCACGGATAGACCCACCTCTCCAGAATTTCAATCTTAAAGCACTCGCAGCCATCGTCCTCTCTGTGAATCAAGCCCACCAGCGCCGCCTCCCTAACCCACTCGGCGCAATCCAGCCACTCTCTGGACGTACCTGACTCTGATCCCCACTCGGTATACCGCTTCTCTTCGCGGAGATACGTTACCAACTCATCAGCCAACTGCGGCAGCGATCGCTGGAGGCCTTTATGTTTCTTGTTCTCTGCCTCCACAATCTTCTGAAGGTGTGCGAAGACGTGGGTACGAATAAACGCTGCTTTTGCGCCGGAGAAGTCTGCTTGCTTTTGGTACTGCTTGAGCGCATCACTGTGAGAGCACTGGACGGTTTTGCACTCCTGTCCGACTATATCATTTACAACCGTCTGATGACCGAACGATTTGACATCGAAGCACGGGTCGCTTGGGACAACGAAGGGACAGCGTAGATCCGTCTTGATGATGCCTCCTTTTCGTTCGGGGACGGCTGCAGACTCCGGAACATGAGTCGAACTCTCCGGGACTGCTTCAAATGGTTGAAGATGCGCGTCAGGTCTCTGTGTTGATTGTCAGTGGGCCATCATTCAGTACTGGGATAACATACAAGAGTTGGCTTGGCCTGCGTCTTGCGACTAGGCCTTTTGGCTGGAGCCTCCTCTGCGTTGCCGCTCTTTGCGCCTGCGGCCAACTCCACCTTTCCGATGTCCAAGCCCTGAGGTTGGGTTTTTCCACGTCGGGGTTGGCGTTTCGCTGCTGCGGCTGCTGGGGTTTCTGCATCCGTATCTTCCTCCTCATCAACATCTTTCTCAATCTTCCTCTCAGGCTCTTTCTTAGCCTCCGGCTCGACTGCTTGCTTGACCGCTTGCTGGGCCTTCCTAGTTCTACCTCTAGGTTTCTTCGTTGGAGACTCGTCCTTTTGATTGGCTTCAGTGTCTGGATCGGCAAGATTCTCGACAGGCTTTTCGACATTCTTTTCGGCAGGCTTTTTGCCAACTTTAGGCTTGACTTCCTTTTTTGGTCTATCAGGTGCCGGCGCAGAAGCGGGGAGGGCACGTCGAGGTCTGTCTGCGGCCATCTTGTTGGCTTGGTTGTGAGCTGATGGATGATCTTTTGGAAAAGCGAAGAAATCAAGAAACGCCTAGGAGCTGTGGTAGTAACTGCACGTCGGCAAATTTGGTTGGTTATGTAGAAGATCACAAGAGCAATGTCACGGAACAAGGAGCTGTAGACCGTGTACGTGATGTATTGGATGATGATGATGATGATGATGATGATGCAGGGGAGAGAGAGAGGTCTGGAGGAAGGTGAGGCTATATACAAGAGGTGCTGTGCGCCTGCCGTAGCCCTCACCGCTACTCCCTGACAAGCAAGCTCTACGAGGAAAACATAGTTCGATTGGATTGCTAAGAAAAGCCGCTTGACCTGAGATTGTTGATATGATCTGGAAGCATGCCATTGTGCTCGAGTGCTGATTTCGCGATGTTGCTCAAACCATGGTCTCGTGTACAAAACTTTATCACAAACCTGTTGTGGGAGAACTGATGGAACCCAAGCCAATACTCACAAGCTCCTGGAAACAGACCGATTATCCAGAGCTACTGGAAGAGACACCGTATAGCGGGCTTGAAGCACTGAAGCAGTGTAGCAGCGGCAACATTGATAAGAAGGTATTCGCAATTAGAAAGGCGATGTACTTTCAAGGCGCAGTTCGGTGTTAAAAGTGGAATAGAATAACAAGCACAGAAATCTTACTCATGGGAATACAAGCTTGATATTCTTTAACTCACCTCTAATCCGGTGTGGTGTAGTTGGCTAGCATGAGTAGGTACTAGGTTTAAGGGTGGCCTTCTGCCTACAGGACCCAAGTTCGATCCTTGGCGCCGGACGTTTCCGACCCCTATTCTTTTTGCGATCGTACGCCTTCGACCAGAGCACTAACATCTCATCTGGACCGCTGTGATCAAGCCCATGTGATTTTGCTGTGTTCCAAGTTATGAAGATACCCTTCTCACCCCAAAACTCTCGTCATGGGCATATGTCACTATTAACTGCACCGCGTACTACAATCCGGTGTGCTTTAGTTGGCTATAATATGTTAGGATCGGAGCTTGATTCGGGATCCGCCTGACAAGACCCAAGTTCGATCCTTGGCGCTGGACAAGTCAACTCCTATTATTTTGCCGTTCTGCACATTGATTGGAGCATTGCTATGCTACGTTGGTGGTTGTGGGTGAAGCATGCGATTAGGAAGTGTTGAAAGATATAAGAGAGTACCTACATCCACCCGGAAGTGACCGCCATGAGCATATGAGCTTATTCATTGCACGACAGTCCCCAATCCGGTGTGCTGTAGTTGGCTAGCATGTTGTTAGGCTAGGGACTTATTCGTAGGCCGGGCCCGAATTGAGTTCCGCCTCGCAAGACCCAAGTTCGATCCTTGGCGCCGGACGTGAAGCATTTCGCTATTTCCTTTTTGGCCTCTTGGTACTTTGGAAGGAGTGAATGCCGTATCTTGAAAGCGGATCGTTAGTGGTAACGATCTTCTGGCTATAGTTGAGTAGGAGAATGTTGAAGTCACCTCTACGGAGACTCTCTAGCTTGTCATGTCAGCAAAACTCCACAAGGCGTGGTATACATTAGTAGAGTTGATTGAAACCCTCAAAATGAGGTACCGAATCATGACGCCCTGAAAGATCTGTGGATCATACGCTGAAGTTCGCCTGGAAGCTTCAAACATTCATTTTCTTCCCTTAGCCATCAACTCTACTCCGGTCCGCACCACCCCAATCGCCGCTCCTGTCTGGATGGCCTCGCTACCACCGCCACTTAATCTGTACTCAATCTCCGCAAGCCCCTCCATCCACGTGACCATAGTTTGCGTCGGAACGTCCCGCTTAACCAACTCCTCTCCTAGCGCAGCTAGGATGTCCGCCAACGCCAAACCCTTTGCTGCTTTCAGCGTACCGATTGTCTTGACACACTGCGTAACATCCGAAGTTGTCAGGAGCAACTCCATTATCCGGTAGATGTCTTCCGGATGCGGTGCAGCAATGCACTCGTAGATCGTGGTTTGCGTGATCTGATCACGGACGATAGTCTTGGGATCTGGCGCTGGTTTGCCTGGAATTTGTAGTGGGGTGCTTGAAGCATGGCACGCTTGGAGAACGTTCAGAGCTCGTCGCATGTCTCCCTTGCTCAATGTGACTAGAGATTCAGTGGCGTCCTGTGTGATATTTACGTTCTCTTCTATAATGACTTTGTCCACTAGCCGCCGAATATCGGGCTCTTTCAATGGCGAGAAGCGGAATCGTGTACACCGGGAAAGAAGTGCGGGTGAGAGTTTGTGGGTATAGTTTGCGATAATGCAGAAGCGGGTGTTTGCAGTGTATTTCTCCATGATCCTTCGTAGAGCCATCTGTGCGGTAGAAGTCATTGCGTCGGCTTCGTCGAGGATGATGAGTTTGAAGGTAGCAAGTGTTGCATGGTCGCCTGGTTGGGGTGCCGCGGAGAAGATTTGCTTCGTGCTGCTGAAGGTCTTGATTTGTTCTCTGTGAACAGTCAGCCAGATACCCAGAAAGCAGAGGTAGAATGGCAATTACCGCACAACATCGATGCCTCTGTCATCTGAAGCATTCAGTTCCAAGACCATCTGCCTCATGTTCTTGGTTCCGTATATTCGTCGTGCAAGAGCGAGGACTGTCGATGTCTTTCCTGTTCCTGGGGGTCCGTATAGCAAGAGATGAGGCAGCCTCTGATGCGTGTTAGCAATTGTTCCAACTCTTGAAATGTAAACCCCCCCAGACGCACATTTGTATCCACGAACTTGTTGATGGTTGCCAGAATGTCTTGGTGGCCCTCCACATCGTCCAAAGTATTCGGTCTGTATTTTTCGACCCTGAAAGACAATTAGCCAGAGCATTGACGCAGAGATAAGGATGAGTACCATGGCAAGGAGTCTTCGGCTTCTACTGGTAAATTTGCAGCGCTTCTTTTCCCTTTCGAATTCGTATTGTCTGAAGTGAACTTGACCGGGGCGTCGACGGCGGGCGCGTCCACGTCCATCTCATCTTCGTAGTCGGACATTTTGAAGAAGTTTCGGGGTCAGAAACACGAGATCGGTTGCAAAACTAGGAGTGATTTTGGATGTACAAGAAACACGGAAGATAGGTACGCGGGGAAGCTGAGCACGTAATAATGTCAAGACGGACGACGCGCTGAAGTCGAGACGCGTAAATTGAGGGATATATTACGGGCCTTATCTCAATCTAACGAGCCGTAATAAATCTCCCACTTCAGCCCTACGAGCTCACCACCACATACGACGTCAAGCTTCGCAGTCAGCGCAACAGCAACAGAAGCTCTACATTCTCCGTCCACTATCCAAGTCGTCGCCATTCAATAGGCCTATATACCCATCATGCCGGTACGTCCCAGCTCTTCAATCCTTCTTCCCACTCCCACAATACTAACAACTACAAATAGGCCTACCACTCCGTCTTCCTCGATGAGCCGAATCAGCAACTAATCGGTACGCTCCGTCTCTCTACGCTTCCCAATTTGAACCCCCAAACGTTGCCCCTAACAATCCATAGGCAACTTCGCCCTGCTCCCACTCCGAACCCGCACGCGCGGCCCCGCAATGCAACTCCCACCCCTCCCCGCCGATGTAACCGACCTCACCATCGACGCCTCACACGAGTCCTACGACCCGCTAGACGAGATACTATCCCTCTTCCGCGCCAACACCTTCTTCCGCAACTTCGAGATCAAGGGCCCCGCGGATCGCGTGCTGATTTACGGCATTCTATATGTGAGCGAGATATTAGGGAAGATCAAGCCGGGAATGAGTCGGAGGGATGCGGAGAAGGTACTGTTGAATTCCTCCCACTATCAATGGCCTTCATAATTGCAGTATGATTTCTGGAGGATGACGAGGTTCACGATACCCACACAACCACAGTGGTGGAGCAAATAGGCACCCAAGAAACTGGGCTGACACATATCTCTCTCAATACAGTCCGTCACAAACGTCGCCCTAGACACCAACTTCCCCATCCCCGGCGACGCCTCTTTCCCCCTCAACCAAGCCTTCGAGGCACCCCGCGACCGGAACCAGGCAGAGCAGCTACGGCAGTACATAATGCAGATGCGGCAGGAACTAGCACAGCGGTTGTTGGGCCGCGTGTACGCGGATGGCGCGACGACGCCGAGCAAATGGTGGCTGAGCTTTACGAAGAGGAAGTTTATGGGCAAGGCATTGGAGGGAAGTCGGGATTAGCGCTGCGTACGATTGTTGAGGGGCCATAAAGCTGCCGAGGGTTAAGCTGAGACCGCGGAAGGAAGAAGACGATACTGCTTAAGCTGAGACGAGTCTGGAGATCGAAGAACACGGCTTCCGGATGCAGAGAAGGCTCACACAACACTCTGCAGGCTGGAATGAAGCCGACTACATCAAAATTCAAGAGCGGAATACTACAACTTCTAACTATTCAGTGAACCATCGCAAGACGTACCAATCAATTGAACCGGAAGCCGGTACATGCAAGCAAGATAAGACCCGTTAGACGACGCTTTCGTAGCGGCATGCTACTCACTGCATCCTACCCACACTACCACACACCCTAGAACGATACCCAGACGTCATCCCACATCCTCCTGCATCTCCAAACAGGTCTGCAAGCACTCTGCATCCCCTCTGCATACCCTAGACCTCCAAACCCAACCGCCCAAGCTCTCATCCCGCAGAAACCGTCATCACAACCTCAGACGTCATCCCCCATCTCCCACAACCAACTTCCTCCCCCATGCACCCCCGTCCCCGAACCTCGACTTCTACCCTCCCATCCAACTCCGCCCCCCCCTCACACCTCGTGATCCCCTCACACTCACCGATCAGAACATCCTCCCCCCACTCTCTCCCCTCTCCCCCCTCTCCAGATCCCCGAAACAGCGGTGAACCCGCCACCTCACCCGCCACCACTTCGCACGTCAACACCCTTAGCTATTGTACAGTAGCTCGGCAGGACCCGGCCGAAGTCAAATTGGAATCCACTCGGATGCCCAGGATCTAGCGGTGTCCAGAACAGCCACGTGTAGGCGGGCCGGCCGGCGGCGGTGCCGGGGCGCCTCCCGCTACGCCGCACTAAGGATAACGCTAAACAACGGTGTTACGTGTTTTTGAAACGGAAGAGAGAAAAACGGAGTTAAAATGGGATATTGGAACATTCTGGGATTCAGGAGCCGGTTTGTGCGTGGTGAGGTAAGATCTTGGCTGGGGAGATG